ATCGTTTCTATATTACCAATACCATTTTTGTCAAGTAAGCTGTTTTGATGAATCATTTTGGAAAGTAGACTTGGTTTTCACGTTCAGAACCTAATGTCCATCTCAAAAGTCACTTAAAAATCGTTTTTACCTGTCAGCAGTCTTAAGTGAGTAGGCCGTGGGGCCCACGTCAAAGTTCACAATAACTGGCATGTGTATGAGGTAAGAAGTAAATGTACGCATGCGCCAGTAGCATGAGTCAGCATTATGAACAATACGCGTGCGCCAATAGCCTGAGTACGGATTATGAACAATACGCATGCGTGGACATAATGAAAGGACAAGTGCCTACACCTGAGCGCACGCGCCACCCACTGGTACTGCAGTAAGCTGCTGTTTTGGTATATGTCGGCTCCTCGCATCTTCCAGTTGGGCAGCTCACCTTCTTGGATCTGTCTCCAGCCTCCCGTGGCTGACATTATCTTTCCGTGAATGGGAGTCGACTCTTCTAAACTACCAGATACATTGGGCTAACAGGGTGGTTCTCAGCTGGGAGCGACTTTGTCCCAGAGGGGACGCGTGGTACTTTTCTGGAGCTGGTTTTGTTGGCGCTGATGGTTGCAGGTGTAGGGCAGGGCAGATGCTACTGACACCTAGTGGTGGAAACCAGATGAGCTCCCAACCGCAGAGGATAGCTTACCTCGGCAAATTAGCCCCAAATGTCAGCAGTGATGAAGAGGGATGCCCTGGTATAAAATTTATACTAAAAGAGTCGCTAAAAACAAACACAAAAGCTCCCTGATAAATGCATGGGTTAAAACTGTGACTGCTCTATTTCCCTTGCCTAGTTGGGGCATTCATTCACTGAAGGTCTCTACCCAGTCCTTTTGAAATATTGTCTCAAAATAATCCTGGGAGGTAGTTTCTATTACAGTCTCTCATGAGGGGCAGATGTGGAGATCCAGGACGTGGAGGAATTTGCTACTACTGACATTTCAACACCAGGTTGATTCCAGACTGATACGCTTCGCTACTTCTAAGTCTTTCGGCCACATCATTGCTCAGAATCCCTTAATCTCCGGATAGGCAATTATGATAAAGTCATAACTCTAAAACTTTTTCAGGCATAGCTATAATTTCAGTTAATCTTTTTGACGGGGAGGGAAAAATCTCTACCTAGAGTAGAAATTATTTGGTATTAAATTAACATTGAACATGTGCACCTAATTCTCTGAAAACAAGAAGGGGCTTAGGTCACTTACATTTCTTTCATTGAGCATAAGGCCAGGAAGCAGTAATTCACGTAGTGAGGTCCTGCTAGTGGGACGGGGTCAGTCAGCCGGCTCTCCAGCGATCCGCTCTCCTCTGAACTGGCGTGTTGTGTATCTGTGACCCAGTACACGTGTGCCCATGTGATGGCTCTCAGGTGAACACTCCTCCTAGCACAGTCCTCACCTATATGAAGAGTGATGTGAAAAAGATGTTGAAAATAGGTGCCTTGATGATGACTGCTGCCTGACCACAATCATCCAGCTCCTAATTATTGTCAAAAGAAAAAGAAACGGGGTGAATTCATGTCCGTTCCTTCACTTACGTTCTTTTTGAGCTGAGAAGTCGTTCCAGTGTCGCTTAGGGCTTTCTCTACATGACGCAATAAAGGACCATAGGAAAAGTACTCCCACTAGGAATCCCACGTAAACCTATTTACCATCTTTGATCAACTCTTGTCTCTCTTGGTCCCAGGGAAGCACAGGTTGCTAAGGAAGCACAGTGGACCAAGCCAAGTGGGCTTGGCCCTCATTCATGACCTGAACCTCAAAGGCAGTGTTTTGTGTGGGAGGGAGTGTGAGCCTGTGAAGAAGGGCTGGGCAGGGGGAGGTCCAGAAGCAACTGCACGGAGAAGGAAAGGGATGGGAATGACCTTTGACCTCTGACTCTTGGAAGCACCTCACATTCAGTCAGAGAGCAGAATATTCCCCAGCTGGTTCCAGTTACCCACTGCAGAGGACCCTGCAAGTAAACCAAAACTTTTTTTTGTTTTTGTTTTTTTTTGGTCCTAAGGGATCTTTTTTTTTTTTTTTGGTGCCTCTGCGGCTTCAGAAGAAAAAAGTGTTAATTCGCTCCTTGGTCACATTTCAGTCCGTTCACTTGGCCTCAGGTATCAGTGTGCTTCCCGTAAGTTCTTACACGTGTTTCTCTTCAACTCTTGACTGTGGGTTTATCTTGTCTGAAGTGGCCAGTGAGCGATGAAAGGCTGTTTCTGTGTCCTCTTTCTTTTTGTTAACACTGAAGATAAAGCCTGTCAACTTCCCTCGCTTTAGTCTCGCCTGGTGTTGAATTGTATTCCTATATTCTCCTACTTTATGAAACCTAAACAAGCAAGCAGTGTGTGAGCTGCAGAGGTGTTCTGAACAGGAGCGACTTAAGTATAATTCGCACACAGGATGCCTTGGTCACTTAAGTTTGTAGTGAATAGTCTGGGAAGTGCTCCAAAGCTAGCGAAAAATTCCTTTGAAGACTGCTATGCTCATTTCCCCAGTTCAGTTCAGTGCGACTGTAGTTACACAGGAAAGCTTTCCTGTGTTTAAGTCCACAATGGAGTTAATCTAGTTGGTATTAAGAACCTGGCATGATTATTCCAGATTTATGCTTTAAAGTTGACAATTTAGTCCACAAATTAGGTTATCAGAGTATTCTCTCTGCTGCTTTTGCATTTTATTTATATGGCCAGCGAGTGGCGCTGTTTCCTGTTAAAAGCTGCCTTTTTCATTTTCAGAAACTTCTCTACAAATCTATGGTATTTACACGGCTCAATGTAAATTTCAGTAGGCTTAAAAACATCAAAGAAGAAAAACCCCACTTAAGTCTTTCAACAGAATAGACTTTCAGTATTTCTGAAGAGCACCTGTAGGTTTCTTTTCATGTTTAGGAATGGAAATCAGAATGAAACTATGATTATTTGAGCTCCATTTTAAAGAGCTAAAAAGGACTCCTTTCACAGAATTTTAAACATGAATTTTACTGAAAAATTCATTCATTTCACATGAAGAGAAGGCCCTTCAGAAGTGAGTAATGAGGTTTTTAGTTAAAGTTATATCATTTAAGATTTGGCTAAAATTATATAATTTCTATTTCTTTTAATTTGCTTATGCTTCTCAAAATGCACATTTAGGGGCAAAGTAATACTATTTTGGTCATGTCAAGAACTAGAAATACACCAGTTACTCTTTATATTTTAGTTTCCTGCACTAGGCTGTTATATAGCATTTCTTTCATGGCTGTATGATTTTCAGTATCTACAGCTTATTTATAAAATCTCATGTGAGAAGCCTGACTCTTTATGCTTGCTCACGGTAGTGTTGCTAACATTAGAACTTGGGTAAAATCAGTTAATTGCCTTGGTCACTGGGACAAGTGTTCAATTTTACTGACACTGAATATTATTTGAAACCATTGGGTTTCAAAACCCCAGTGTTCCCTGCATAGTCCAGCAGCTATTATGCTCAGTAAGACACTAAAATCAACAAAAGCCTTCAAATAATCTAAAGTTAAAAATTTCTGGAGCAGAGGGAGAGGACAGGAGTGAAAAACACGTTCACAGTCGAACACCACCATCACCATACAATTGACCCCTGAAATATAAAAATGCCCACTCCAGGACATTTTATTTTTTATTATTTATTTAAATTTTAGTAATTAGTGCAGAGATAGAATAAAAGTTCGGTGATGACAATCTAGAACAGGCTGTAAGCATGGCTGCAGAAGAGGTACCAAACAAATCAAACACTAATTGATGGATGGATTATGGTGACTTTGGCGGGGGGGAGGGAAGAGAAGAGGGGCGAGGAGACATTCTTAAAGAGTTGTAGTAACTTGAAATCATGTTATTTGACAGGTCTTTGTATATTTTGCAAAACCAAAGTTTAAAAACATCATAAAAATATTCTTCGGCACACAAAATAGCAAACACATTTCTGGCACTTCTCAGTAACATCCTAGTAAAAATCGAGGTGATTAATAAAAGTAACACCTTTAACCCTGTATATACTGCAACTGAATTTTTACAATCTTGCTGAAGAGGAAAACGTCTTGTACAAGAAGATGATCTCCAGATAGGCTACCTACATTGCGAGAGGGCAAAAGTAAGCAAAGGGATGAGGGTGTTCCGTTCCAAAAAGTGGAGTGTATATGTAGTGAGCCAGTGGACAAACTCTAATTTTCATTTCTAAATTGAGGAAATTTGCCATCAGGGACCAGTACATAGAGGGTCACCTATTCTTGTGAAATCACATTACAAAGGATGCAAATTTGTTATTTATCCATTTGACTCAGTTGCATCCCAGCTCCGGATTTCACCCCCTCCCTTTTTTTTTCCCAAAGACCTCCCTCTGTGTTTCCTGGATCATGCAGTTCAAAGCTGAGCAGAAGGGAATTAAGACTGGAGGAGGAAGAAAGCACAGTTAAAGAAGAGATCTGAATCTGGCTACGAACTTCTGACACCTCGGTGTGGAAATGCAGAGGTGAGTGTGGGCCATGGCTCTTGCAGGCCACAAGTCTTGGTTTTTCTAAGATGCTCATTCTTAACTTTTAAAATGTAATTTTAACTTTCCTGGGTGTTCACTGCACTTGCTCAGAGAAGATGCATGTTACTGCATCGTCAAGTGAAAGCAATTAAAAGGAAAATGGGCACCATATGTGAGTTCTGTGCCCTTACTTCACTATCCCCTCTAACCCATAAGCAATGACTGTGGACTACATTCGGTCTAAGACTCATAAATACAATCACATGAAAGTATCGGTCTTTCTCCATTTGCTTTTCCAAGAGGGGCATGTCAGAGAAAGATTGTGCTTCCTTCACAGTTTATCCTTACCAAATGCAGCTGGAAAGCCTTTAAAGAGACAAGCTACTGGCCCCCCCCAAAACAACACTAAGGGTATCTTGGCTAAATGTTTTGAAAAAAATGTATCTATGTGATTATTAAGAAATCGATAAGTAGGTCCAATTTATATCAACAGACGTAACTTAAAAAGGCACTTTAAACAAAATGAAGTCACAGGTGCTACTAAAATCAAAGCTTCTGCTACATTTTTACAGGGCATGTGTTTTCTAAATCAGTTATCTCTGACACCTGTCTGCGGCTTACTTGATAGGATCAGCAGGTGTTTCAGAGCTCAGATCCCTGTTCTTTACCCCAGATATGCTGGCTCAGAGTCCCTGAACGTGGAGTCCTGGAGTACACCTTTAACAGGCTTCCCAAGGGCTTCTGATTCTCCGCTGGTGTGGGGGGGAGAAAGTAAAGAAAGGAGAAGAAATTGATCATCTAAGTCAGTTGCGAGGAAAAGCATAGCTCACTTTTTGGAAGCTGGGATTGAGGGAGGGCCTTGTTTTTTGTTTCCTCTGTAACCTGACAGAGACGGGCCACCCATTCTGGTCCATCTTCATTCATAGATAGAAATAAAAGCCCATTAAGGCCCTTTTCTACTCTAATAGATGGGTATCTTGTCTGTTTAAGTCCCACTGAAGTCTGTATGAGGTTCATCTCCAGACAAATGCAGACCGTGGTGTTCAACTTGGCTTTGAGGAAAGATGTACTAAGCACTTTCTTCCTGAAGCACCTGGACGATTCCCACCTGTCCATTTACCTGTCATTCCTTCTGTGCGTACTGGCGGCTCCCCTCTCATGTGGTCGGTCTCCTGGAACTTAGGGTGTGGTTTACCCAGGCATGCTAAAAATTAGAGAGTTTCGGTGCCAATTCTAAGGGTGAGCTGCATGATAAGTTGGGCGTATGTGAGCAGGATAAAACAGTAGATTTTGACTGTTCTTCGGACTTTACCAAAATGGTTTTCTTTTTAACTGCAATGAAAATCAGTAAGATGGAAAAGGCCAGCATCATCACAGAGGATGTCTGTGATAGTCTGAAAGAAGAAAGCAATATAACCACAAGTATTATTTTAACATATGCATGATAAAGCAGCCCTATGTGTTTAATCCTAAGCTTTCTGTGCACCTGACTAGATGTTCCCTTTTGTGGTTTATCATAAAATGCATTTATTTATTCATGGAAACGAATATGCTATGGAACCCATGTAAGTAGCACCCACATTGCATTTTTAAACAGATAACAGTGATCCCTTTGAACATTTAAAAGCTGTTTTTAAAAGCTCAGCAAGCTTGTCCTTATGATTTCACTCTCTAGGATATAAATTTCATGATGTAACACACAGGCTTATAAATCAAAGACACCATAGGAAACTGTAGGCATGCATAATAGCCCTGTCTTCATCGAGACCAGGTATTTGTTTACCTTTAAAAGTCAAACATGATGGAGGAATTTGTTACAGCTTTTGGAAATGTTTTTAGTAATTCCCCAGTAACATTCAGAAGAGAGTCCCTTTACTCAGTTGTCACTTCTCCATTCATTGGCAGATGGCTCCACACTTTCCTGCTGAGGTCACCATGCTTAGCTTCTTCACTCTTAGTCAACATGAAGTATGTTTAGCCTACTTAAAATAGATTTCCTTTCATGATTCTGAGCATCTCAAATTTCTTTTTGAGTTCATGTGAGCTCACGTCTAACTTTGTTATGTTTCCGGCTCATGTGCAGAACTGTCATGCTAAAACTTACAGATACAGGGCTGGGTGGGGCAAAACGAAAATTCAGAGAACCTTGTTCAAAATTAACTCACTTTTGTGACAGAAGAACATTAAACCAAGGGTGGATCCTTCTAAGGCCCACACCCTTGAGGCCGGCTCTGCCTGCAGAGCCTTTTGAGGAAAAACTCTGATATTTCAATTCACTGGGAAACAACCCTAAGCAATAAATTCTTCTGGCTGTGCTGATTTAAACTATGTGAAATCTATGTTTAAGGTGAGGTAAAGGAAGCATCGGCATACCAGGACAACTGCAGATGGTTGTAATTACCCTTTAACAGGAAGATCTCAGAATGGAAAATGTGTGGAATTTTTGGGGGAGAGGATCCGAGGTTGGAAGAAGCCATGGGCTCTATTCAAAGGGGCCTGCAGCTTGGTGCTGTACCTTTGAGCGCGTGGAGGGCAGAGAGACACTCCAGCTGTGCTCAGTTGTGCGCTTCACCAAGATCCTAGGCTGCAGAACTCGTAAGTGCAATTCTGTATGAAAATGTGGGGGTGTCAGTTGACAGGAATATCAGTGCGTTGCCCCGCATCTGCATGAGTGAGTGTGCATGCGGCTTTTTGACTGGCTCGTGTTATATAAGTACGCCCACGTGTGCAGCACAGCCCTCTGCAGAGCTTGGCTCTCTGTGGGGTCTCCTACCTGCGCGCGGGCTGGGTTCCATCACTTCAGTGGAGCTCAGGGTAGCACAGAGCTTTGTGAGGGGTGTTGTGTTATAGATGCCGGGCCTCTCTTTCCTCTGCAGGGCCCACGCTGGGGAGGGAGGACGTGTGTGTGTGGCGGGGGGGGGGAGAGCATTGGAGCAGATCACAAGAGGTGATTTTGCTGCTAAAAAGGCGAAATCAAGACACCTGGGGCAAATACAAGTAGAGTGTAGGAAAGCTTTCTATTTTGAATAACTCCCTCACGCTGGGCCTGCCATGCTTCCTAGAACAACAGACACCTGAGGAAGCTAGGTGCGTGGGTCTCATTAACCAACGTGGCCCAGGTGATACTAAGGCGGGAAGGAGGGAGCAGGAACGTGTCAGTCGAAATCCCTGCCGGGCGTTGGTCTGCTCTGACACGCATCTCAGGTCAGTTCCTTGGCTCTCTTCCACTGCTCGGGAAAGGGGAAATTCAAATGTGCGAAAGTCCGGGCGGAGCTGAACCCAGAGTAGGACCCGGGAAGAAAGCCTACATCTTAGGGGCGCGCCGTCCTTCCTTAGTCTGTTCCGACGCCCTTGGGGTGGGGAGGGTCCCCAAGCCCTGCTTTCCAAGACAGCATCTCCCATCCCGGCCTGGGCTGGTTCTCGCCTGACGTTTACCTGGCTGGCGGGGGGAGGTGGGGGCAGGCAGGAGCGAAAGCGTGCAGTGGGGGAGCAGACCACCGGCTGGGCACCCGGCC